TTTTGAGACTTGATTTTGGTAATTATTCAACATTCACTTTCTAATCATTTCAAAACACTTAAATAACAACAAGTCAATTTAGAAATAATTGATGTTCATAACTTTAACATATTTCAATGTTTATTAAAGGCTGTTATTAACACATACTTATTTGTCTCCTTCACTTACATATACGAACAAACATTCAGCCTCGTGAATCTCAACAAGTAAAAGATTCAAAATTGATTTAGTGGTTTAGTAAAAGAACATATGTTGTTGGTCATGGTATTTGGTGGTGGGTGGTGGTGGTGGTGGGTGGTGGTGGTGGTGGTGTGGTGGTGGGTTGTGGTGGTGTGGTGGTGGTGCGTGGGGGTGGTGGTGGTGGGTGGTAGGTAGTAGTAGTAGTAGTAGTAGTAGTATTAGTAGTAGTAGTAGTAGTATATAGTAGTAGTAGCAGCAGTAGAAGAAGAAGAAGAAGAGGTAACTCTTGGTTAATGGCGGAGTTAATTTTTAAGGGAAACTCGTCCTAATACTTTACATCAGTAATTAAAGATAACTCAAGTCCTCCACTAGTGTCACAAACGTGTCGCGTCTTTATATATTTACATGTTTCACGAAGAATGTCGTCAAAATACCGTAAACCAGCGTATAAATGTATGTAAAAATACATATATATGTGTATGTTTGTGCGCTTGTTAGTCTTTCAATGTCATATGAAAATGACCAATAAATAAATAAAAATGAAAACAGTGTAAATTTTTAATACAGTTTTGATGGAGGTGGAAAAGTTCTTCAACACTTGGACATTCATCTACATAAAATAAAACACTTACAAATACTTTTAAACTGATAAATAAACAAGAAAATCTCGTACTTAGACTAAATTCATACTGTAATATAAAAGGATTTCCAAAATTTACGTTAATTAGCCTCTCGGAGGTGGCGGAACTGTGAGGCAGCTTGGTGGCGTCTAGCTGACCTACGGTCGCGGCTGTCTTGGTGGGTGTAATTACTGGACGCAGTTTTCTGTGTGTGTCACCTCCAGTAATTCCACCCACCTGGACAGTCTCTACCGTAGACCAGCTAGACAAGACCAAGTTTCCATGCAGCGAGGTCACTGAAGGTGGCAACCGCTGACTCTGGGGAAGTGGGGAAGGGAGTCCACCTGAGGTGACATAAGTGGACTCCTGGAGACACTGATCCGGGGAAGGCACCGCTGACTCTGGGGAAGTGGGGAAGGGAGTCCACCTGAGGTGACACTAGTGGACTCCTGGAGACACTGATCCGGGGAAGGCACCGCCGACCTTAGGTAAGTGGGGAACGGAAGACATCCGGAGCGAGCGGATGGATTCCTGGATTCATAAACTTGGGGAAGGTTGTGGTTGAGGCTGACCTTGTGTAAGTGGGGAAGGGGAGACATCCGGGAGCGAGCGGATGGATTCCTGGATACATGAACCTGGGGAAGGCATGAATACGTGAAGTTGAGGCTGACCTGGGTAAGTGGGGAAGGGGAGACATCCGGCGGTAGACGGATGGATTCCTGGATACATGATCCTAAGGAAAGCAAGAATACCGCTGACTCTGGGGAAGTGGGGAAGGGAGTCCACCTGAGGTGACATAAGTGGACTCCTGGAGACACTGATCCGGGGAAGGCACCGCTGACTCTGGGGAAGTGGGGAAGGGAGTCCACTCAGGTGACACAAGTAGACTCCTGGAGACACTGATCCGGGGAAGGCACCGCCGACCTTAGGTAAGTGGGGAAGGGAAGACATCCGGGAGCGAGCGGATAAATTCCTGGATTCAAAAACTTGGGGAAGGTTGTGGTTGAGGCTGACCTTGTGTAAGTGGGGAAGGGGAGACATCCGGAGCGAGCGGATGGATTCCTGGATACATGATCCTGGGGAAGGCATGAATACGTGAAGTTGAGGCTCACCTTGTGTAAGTGTGGAAGGGGAGACATCTGGAGTGAGCGGATGGATTCCTGGATACATGAACCTGGGGAAGGCATGAATACATGCAGTTGAGGCCGACCTTGTGTAAGTGGGAAGGGGAGACATCCGGAGCGAGCGGACGGATTCCTGGATGCATGAACCTGAGCAAGGCAAGAATACATGCAGTTGAGGCTGACCTTGGGTAAGTGGGGAAGGGAAGATATCCGGCGGTAGACGGAAGGATTCCTGGATACATGATCCTGCGGACGGCAAGAATACCGCTGACCTTGGGGAAGTGGGGAAGGGAGTCCACTCAGGTGACATAAGTGGACTCCTGGAGACACTGATCCGGGGAAGGCACCGCCGACCTTAGGGAAATGGGGAAGGGAAGACATCCGGAGCGAGCGGATGGATTCCTGGATACATGAACTTGAGGAAGGTAAGTGGAAGGGTAAGTGGGGAAGGGGAGATATCCGGGAGCGAACGGATGGATTCCTGGATACATGAACCTGGGGATGGCAAGAATACATGCAGTTGAGGCTGACCTTGGGTAAGTGGGGAAGGGGAGACATCTGGGAGCGAACGGATGGATCCCTGGATACATGAACCTTGGCAAGGCAAGAATACATGCAGTTGAGGCTGACCTTGGGTAAGTAGGGAAGGGAAGATATCCGGTGGTAGACGGAAGGATTCCTGGATACATGAACCTGGGGACAGCAAGAAAACAGGTTGGTGAGGCTGACCTTAGGGAAGTGAGGAAGGGAAAACATCCGGAGGCAGACAGATGGATTCCTGGATACATGAACCTGGGGAAGGCTGAGGCTGGAAGGCAGAGAGAGAAAGAGAGGCGAGGCTGACCTTAGGGAAATGAGGAAGGGGAGACATCCGGGGGCCCACGGATGAATTCCTGGACACATGAACCTGGGGAAGGCGAGGGGGGGGGGGGGACCTTAAAGACGAACCACTGGCCTCCACGTGGCAAGGTCTGGTAACTCAGAGATAACTCTGAGGCTGACAGTGGTCGCAAATATATTATAATTCATTATTATTATTATTATTATTATGTTATTATTATGTTATTATTATTAATTATTATTGTTATTATTCATGATTTGGATTCAAAAGCGTCAACCAGCCTCCCTGACAGTAGCATCGGTGATGTTATTCCCACTCCAGCCTCCATGACAGTAGCATTGGTGGTGTTATTCCCACTCCAGCCTCCATGACAGTAGCATTGGTGGTGTTATTCCCACTCCAGCCTCCCTGACAGTAGCATTGGTGGTGTTATTCCCACTCCAGCCTCCCTGACAGTAGCATTGTGGTGTTATTCCCACTCCAGCCTCCTGACAGTAGCATTGGTGGTTTTTTTCCCACTCCAGCCCCCCTGACAGTGAATGGTTTGTTTTTTCCCCCCACCCGCCCCCCTGACATAGCATTGGGGTTTATTCCCACCCAGCCACCCTGCAGTACATGGTGGTTTTTCCCATTTCAGCCTCCCTGACAGTAGCATGGTGGTTTATTCCCACTCCAGCCTCCTGACTAGCTGGTGGCTTTTTCCCACTCCCTCCCGACAGAAACCATTGTGGTGTTTTCCCCACCCCCTCCCTGACAGTCCCAGGGTGGTTTATTCCCACTCCACCCCCCTGACGGCCCATGGTGGTGTTATTCCCCACCCAGCCTCCCTAACAGAGCATCGGTGGGTTTTTCCCATCCAGCCTCCCTGACAGTACCCATGGGGTTTATTCCCACTCCAGCCCCCCTGACAGAAACCAGGGGGTTATTCCCACTCCCCTCCCTGCAGTAGCCGGGGTGTTATTCCCACTCCACCTCCCTGACAGTACCCCTGGTGGTTTTTTCCCACCCAGCCTCCCTGCGAAACCAAGGTTTTATTCCCACCCGCCTCCCTGACAGAAACCATGTGGTTTATTCCCCACTCCAGCCCCCTTTGACAGTAAAATGGTGGTTTTTTCCCCCTCCAGCCTCCCTGACGTCCCATTGTGGTGTATTCCCACCCCAGCCCCCTGCAGTAAACCATGGTGGGTTATTCCCACTCCGCCCCCGACAGTCCCTTGGTGTTATTCCCCACCCCACCCCCTGACATACCCATGGTGGTTTACCCCACTCCAGCCCCTAAAACATGTGGTGTTTTTTCCCACTCCAGCCTCCCTAAGTCCATGGTGGTTTTATTCCCACCCGCCTCCCTACAGAAAACCATGGTGGGTTTTTCCCCCACTCCGCCTCCCTGACAGTAGCCTGGTGGGTTATTCCCACTCCAGCCTCCCTACTTTCCCATGGTGGGGTTTTCCCCATCGGCACTCCGGCATGTGGTGCCACCCCCCCCTTACTAAAAATTTAAACCAAAAAGGTTTTCCATTTTTCCATTTTCCCTACTCCCAAAAAATTGTTTCAAGGGGGCCTCGACCAACAGTTTTTAAAGCTATTGAAGTAATTTAATATCTTTCCCAAACTGAATCCCCCGTGGGTAAACTGGGGTTAAACAGCCTCTGAAAATTGGTTTTTTTTTTCCTCTGGGTTTAAAGTTATTTTTTCATTATTAATTAAAAAAAATTTTTCAAAAGAATAAAAAATTTTCCTAACTTAATTTAATTTAATTTGTTTAGCGTAATTTAACTAAAAATGTTTTAGAAAATTTCAATAATTAATAAAAAAAACACAATGAAATAATTTTTTTTTTCCTTGGTTGAATTTTTTTTTTTTAAAATTTTTTGAAAAAAATTTTACTTGTTTTTAGACTTTAAAAAATTATTTACTTTTTTCTTTTGTTACCTATTACAAAGGGTAAAGGGTTTTTGTTTAAAAAAAAATAAACCCAAAACAGAAAAATTTTTTCTTTTATTCCCAAAATTTAAAATTTTTGCAACACACAGTGTTGGGGGTTGTGAAAACACTTTCTGGCCATTTAAACCCAAGTCAAAGGCCCTTTTGTGAAACACAAAAAAACCAATGGGGGTTTGACAACCATTTTTTAAAAGGTTGTCAAACACACAGTCGTATGGCCAGGTTGTGACACCACCAGTTTTGGGCCGGTTGGGGGAACCACAGCCGACTGGCCAGGTTGTGAAAAACCCCAAAAGTCGACTGGCTAGTTGGGTGACAACACACAGTCGTACTGGCCAATTGTACAACACACGTCGTACTGGGCTGGGTTTTGACAACACACAGTCGAAATTTTTCTGGGTTGTACAACACGTCGGACTGACCGGGTTGTGGAACACACAGTCGTATAAAAAGGTTGTGAAACACCAGTCTACTGGCCGTTTGTGACAACACACAGTCGTACTAGCTGGGTTTTTAAAACAACACCATCGTACTTTCTGGTTGTGACAAACAGTGACTAAAGGGTTTTTGGCAACACACAGTCGTACTAAAAAGGTTTGTCAAAAAACCCAACAGTCGACTGGAAAATTGTGCAACAAAATGTATAGCAGGTTTTGCAACACACATCGTTTTTCAAGTTGTGACAACACATCGTACAAAAAAAGGTTGGGGAAACACACATCGTACGGCCAGGTTGTCCCAACCACATGGGACGGAAAGGTTTGCAAAAACATCCGTACTGGCCGGTTTGTGCAAACCAGGGGCGGCCCGGTTGGACAAACATCGTACTGGCCAGTTTGGCAACACAAAATCGTACTGGCCAGTTTGGGGAACACACATTGTAGGGGCAGGGTGAAACACACGTGGAGGGCCCAGTTTTGGCAACAAGTGTCGGGCCCGGGTTTTGGAAACACAGTCGTACTGGCCAGTTTTGCAACACACTCTACGGCCCGTTGGAAAAAAAAACCGTGAAACTGGCCAGGGTGAAACACACATGGTAGGCCATTGTAAACACACATCGTATGGCCGGTTTTGCAAACACATTTGTTTTTCCTGGTTGTGGAAACACACAGTCGAAGGGCCGTTTTTTTGAAAACACAGTCGTACGGCCAGGTTGTGAAAACACACGTGACTGGCCAGGTTTTTGGCAAACAATTCTTGGGCCCAGGTTGGACAACCACAGTCGACGGGCCAGGTTTGAAAACCCCACAGTCGTACTGGCCAGGTTGTCAACAAAAATTCGTTTTGGCCCCCGGTTTTTGGGGCAAAACACATTACTGGCCGGGTTTGGCAACACACAGTCGTACTGGCCAGGTTGTGGCAACACCATCGTACGGGCCGGGGTTGCAAACAACAGTGTCGGGCCGGGTTTGAAACAAAAGTCTACTGGCAAGTTGTGACAACACACAGTCGTACGGCCCCAGGTTGTAAGAAACACAGTGTACGGCCGGGTTGGGGCAACACATCGTACTGGCCAGTTTGACAACACACAGTTGTACTCCGGTTGTGCAACCCAGTCGAAAGGCAGGTTGTGAAAACTCATTTGTACGGGCCATTTTTTTTTGAAAACACACAGTCGTAGGGCCAGGTTGTGACAACACACAGTCGTATGGCCTTGGGGCAACCGCATTCGTCTGGCCGGGTTTGGGACAACACAGTCGTACTGGCCAGTTTTTGACAACACACATCTATGGCCAATTGGGGACAAAAACAGCGTACGGGCCAGGGGGGAAACACACGTGGTACTGGCCAGTTTTGAAAACCCAACAGTCACGGGCCCGGGTTTTTTTGGGCAACCACATTTGTATTTTCCGGGTTGTGCAACACCCAGTGTACGGGCCCGGGTTGTGACAAACACAGTGTACGGGCCCAAAGTTGTGAAAACACACATTCGAAATGGCCGGGGGTTTGAAACACACAGTCTACTGGCCAGCTTGTGAAAAAACCACATCGTAGGGGCCGGGTTAAACACAGTCGACTGGCCGGGTTGGGTGACAACCACATTCCTGGCCAAGTTGTGACAACACACAGTCGTATGGCCGGTTTGGACAACAACAGTCGTACGGCCGGGTTTTTGGGCAACGCAACAGCCGACTGGCCGGTTTGGGGGCAACGCACAGTCGTACTGGCCTAGTTTGAAAACAACAGTAGTACTGGCTATTTGTAAACACAGTTGTCCCTGGCCAGGTTGTGACACACACTTCGTACTGGCCAGGGAGGACAACAACAGTGTCTGGCCATTTGTGAAACACACAGTGTTCTGGCCAGTTTGACAACACACAGCGTACTGGCCCAGGTTTTGGCAAACATATCGTACTGGCCGGTTGTGACAAAAAAGTCGTAAACGGCCCATTTGTGACAACCAGTCGTACTGGCCGGGGTTGTGGCAACACACAGTGTACTGGTCGGGTGTGGCAACACACGGGTTACTTTCCGGTTGTAAACTACAGTGTACTACCGGTTGTGGCAAACCCAGTCGCCGCCTTTTTTGGGGCAAACCCCCAGCGATGGCCGGGTTGTGACAACACAAAGCGACTGGCCAGGTTGTGGCAACACACAGTCGTACTGGCCGGGTTTTGTGAAAAACCACAGTCGTACGGGCCGGGGTTGTGATAACCCCTTTTGTTTGGCCACGTTGTGACAAAACACAGTCGTACGGGCCATTTTGGGGCAACATCGTCGTACGGCCGGGTTTTGGGGCAACACACAGTCTCCGGCCAGGTTGTGACAACACCTTCGTATTGGCCGGTTGTGTAACAACATTTTGTTTTGGGCCACGTTGTGACAACACACGGTACTGGCCAGGTTGTGGAAACAACATCGAAATGGCCAGGTTGTGGCAACACCCAGTCGTTTGCCATTTTG